ATTGATTTTGTAGTGTACACGGACAAATGATATTGATAAGGTAGTGTACACGGACAAATGATATTGATATGGTAATGTACACGGACAAGTGATATTGATATGGTAGTGCACACGGACAAATGATATTGATATGGTTGTGTACACGGACAAATGATATTGATTTTGTAGTGTACACGGACAAATGATATTGATATGGTAAGTATTTTCTCAATTATCATAAAGATAAGACTAATTATATTGCAAATTATTTACCGTTAATTTTAAATGGAAAATGAGCCGCTGAGTTTTCGCAATATTGTCAGAAAAAGTTACTGCGTTATCATAATTCCGTTTATATTTGACGCCCCAAATATAGGAGTTGAAGATGAATTAAAATACATTTCTGTTTGCTTCCAGCGTTGGCTACATTTAACCTCAAATACTAAAGGTATTATTTAAATTCACATAAATAATTGTTATTTTTCGTGTGTGTGTGTCTGCGAAATCATTTACGTACTCGTTGAAAATATTGTTGTAAAATATTCTTGAAATTGAACGATCTCTTCTTGTTTTTGTGAGTTATTCCAACACAAAGTTAAATCAAAGTATTATTTTAAATTACTTCATCTTAAGTGTATTTGTTGCTAAGTATGTTATAATTATTAATTTTATTGGGGAGTTTTATGATCATCTAAGTTTGTTCTATGACTTTTGTTTGTTTCTAATTAAGCACAAAGCTACACAATGGGCTAAATGCTCTGCCCACTACGGGTATTGAAACCTGGATTCTAGCGTTGTAAGTCCGCAGACATACCGCTGTGTCACTGGGGGGGGGGCTGTTCTATGAGTAAACTTTATTTGTGTTACTGTACGTAAATAAAGATCTATACACAATTTTATTTAAGAGTTCTATCTGTCTAGTTGCTCGTATGTTGAATTTAACACAAAGCTAGTTGAGGGCTATTTGCTCTAGCAGTTCCTAATTTTGAAGTGATAGAGTAAATGGAAGTCAGCTTGCTAACACCACCAACCGCCAACTCTCGGGCTACTCTTTATCAACGAAAAGTGGAATTCACTGTCACATTTTCATGCCCCCCACGACTGATAGGGCGAGCATGTTCGATGACGGGAATCGAACTCACGACCCACAAATAGCGTGTCGAGTGCCCTAACTACCAGGCCATGCCAGGCCCTTATCTATATATCTTTCTATCAAACAATATGTTATAGAACTGACATACTTATAGTTACATTACCTAATTGACGAATTGAGTTACCGAAAAAAAATATTTTCCTAATTTAACGTTATGAGCCCTCAAGCTTCCCACTGAACCATTCGATCAGTCGTGGTGGACGCAGCGCCGCTCGTCCATTGTGCAGCTTTGCGTTTAAAAAACAAACAAACCATAAGATGCAAAAACCAGCAAAAATTAAACCAGCCTATACTGTGGGTCAATAATAACTACTACGTACTGTAGACTCTTTAAAAGATGATTCTTGTTTACGTACAGTGTTTATAAGTCAGAGAGGTCAAAACTGTAGTGACATGCAGACAATCAAGCATTAAAATTATTTTTCTTACCCTTGCTGAATTATATAGCTTCAAAAATGGATCACACGAGAAGTAACACACGTTTATTAGCACAAGGATCACCTTGTATATCTATTTTTGATTGAAGCACAAGATATATGAACTTCAAAAGCGATCATGAGATGTGGAGGTAGGGTTAAAACAATCTGTGGAATCGTTGAACGTTAATTAAAAAATAATTACATTATTTAACCTGGAAATTTAGATTGATTTACAGTCATGTACAGCTAATAGGTATTCTGAGGAGGACAGATTGGAAAATTATATTTATTAATATTCAAATTGATTATACGATCCCTTCAAATGAGCCTCTTATTTTCATCTTGCCTGCAAAATATCTCTCGCATATAAAGAAATAGAAGCACACTCCACTCAAAACTGCTTAACCCTAGCTATGTCATCTCATGTGTAGGCGTTTAAGAATGAAATGATTTGCTCTAGTCAGCTTCTAAAGTTCACACGGGGGCGAGGTCTCAAGAAATTGTCGCGAGAGAGTTCATTCTACCATTGGTTGGACAAAAGTTAACGCCCTCTTGTGGAACTTGTGCTTATAAAGTTGGAGGCCAGAGCCATATACCACTAGAGGAAGATAGACTTCGCAAGCCACAGAGAGAAAGTTAGCAAGTTTTAAAAGTAAATCCTTACCACTACAAGCCAGCAGCGAAATCTGTTACAACAGAATAGAAGAGCGACCGACCACCTCCGTATCACACAGCCAAAGACATAAGCTGGCCGCTTCTTTTGTACTGCAAAATCCGAGTTTAATTTCAAGTAAGTAGTTTTATTTACTTGTTACAATAATTTAAAAAAATACCATTTTATCGTGGTTAGCAATAGACTGACTTTCATATTCAATCTGTTCTTATAATACCAACTTTGCGAGTGTATTAGAAAATTAAAAAAAAAAGAGTTTAACTCGAACTGCCTTTCACCATGTGAATATTCAATATTTTTTAAGTTTAAGGTTAATGTGTAAATTTCTTCAGATTTTAGTTTATATTTCCAGGAGATTTTATACAACTAAAAACTTAGCTTTTTTGTATTTTTTTTTTCACAGAAATGACAGATTTAATAGGTTTAAGTAATAAATAGTTCCACTTACCTAGGAAAAGTCATTTCTATCGGTATTTACCCTCAAATTATTGACTTGTTTGTCCACTCCCCGTTGGTTCAACGGTAAGACTCACGACTTACAATGCTAAAACTCGGGTTTCGATACCGGCGGTGGGCAGAGCATAGATAGTCCATTGTGCAGCTTTGTTCTTATTAACAAACTAACGAGCGATTTTGTTTTGTTTTTTCAATTATGCACAAAGCTACACAAGGGCTATCTGTGCTCTGCCCACCACGGGTATCGAAACCCGGTTTCTAGCGTTGTAAGTCCGCAGACATACCGCTGTGCCACTGGGGGGCACTAACGAGCGAACAAAAACCGGTTTGTTTTTATGCCATTCGCTACCTGTGAACTCCACATGCTACATCGTCTTAAGTGATTTTTTTTTGCCCGTTACAATACTCAATGCAAAAAAATAACGCCTCCAGTGGCACAGCGGTATGTCTGCGGTTTCGATACCCGTAGTGGGCAGAGCCCAGATAGTGTTGTCGATTATTTTCCTTAACTCTAGTTTATCAATTCAAAATTTCCCACGGCTCTTGCGTATCTTTGCGTGAAATTCTTAAATAAGCAAATAATATTAATAACACATACACAGTTGTGTTCAGACGCCCTCTGATGGTATGTTAGGATATATCAATGATATTAAAAACATTAAATAATATGACAAGTTATTGGGGAGAAGTATTGATAATACGACGTGTCATATATGTTATTTTATACTATAGCTTTGTTTTAAGTAGTATGAATAACATTATTGTTCCGTGTTGAATTTTTAGAAAGTCAATTTAATTTCGTTTCGCTGTATCCTTTTTTTTTGTTGCTGTTGTTTTCGAATGTGAAGATAAAAGCAGTGTTTTTTTTTCAAACATTCTGTGTGTTAAGACTAAGTCCATAGAGTCATCTTGTAGAATTGTTATACATGAATTCAATTGCGTTTATTTAGTACCTAAAGAACTAAAACAAAGTATCGTTTGGTTTTATTTCGCTAGAAAACAAACTCTTTCCAATATTTGATAATCAGTATCTCGGTTTGTTAGTTAAAGCTTGTTTCTTTATTTTAGCACGGTACTAAGTTAACTAACGTAAAAACTCGAACTATTTTTTTCAGGGCTACAATAAGAATAATTGTTACCGTATTATATAATTTTTTCCCATTAAATACAGTTTAAACGTTTAATTTTAGCATTTAACAGTCAATAGAGTTACTTTATGGACGTCGATTTCTCAAACCTGACTTGTCTTTTTTTTTATCCAATGTAACGACTCACGTAAAATAGATATAGATTCTGAAATCAATTTGGTAGTTGTAGATGGAGTTGAAAATATATATGAAAAAAGATTAAAGTATACATATGATAAGGTCATGGAACTGTTTATTTTCAGATTAATTAACCTCGTGAATAATTTCTCATGATTTCCAATCATATCTTGGCCTCAGTGCGTCATAATAGGTCAGTATTGCGATTCTTATTGTAAAAGCTTTTTGTTTCCGACGCTTTCCTGCGTACTATTTCTTCTTAAGTATGCTATTTTTAACAGTACGTCGGGACTACTTCTAGAACTGCAATCTGCTAAAACAACTAACTCACTTAATATTGCTACAAAATCCCAGTTTCAATCTTGCTGTTTTTAGATTATGCATATTTCATATCTTTAATGACGTACTTTCCCTATTTCTTGCTTCAAGAAGCATACATTAATACAATATGCATAATTTTCTAGTACCATTAAGGCTAGCCCTGTATCATTTTATGTACTTAATAAAACAGATTAACAGTGTACAGGGTTTATTGAAATAGCTAATTTTAAATCTGAATTTAGTTTTCTTTTGTACTTCTGTGTACAAAAGTATCTTACCCTCATGGGGTCAGTTACTAACAAAAACAAAAGGAGACCGTGCTTGGGCAGTGTAGGCGATGAAAGGCTACATAATACCTTCCGTTTTGTATTTGTGAACAAATATATTCACATCATCATCATCTAAGGTAAACATTGTCGTCTTATAGCTTCCTACAATAGATGCATATTAATTATATGCACGAGAAGTTTAGGAGACCTGATTCATTGGTGTATCTGCGTCTTTACATTTTACTGCTGTGTTCTTGTCGATTTTTAGTATGAGGAAATTTTTTTTTTATCCACAATAACTACTAAGGAGTTTAATCCAACATACCTTATAGTGTTATAAGAATGTGTACGTTTCTAACAGGTACCATGGTGTGTCTATATATATAAAAATATACTGCACTAATTTGTCACCCACACCTGAAAATGGGCTAAGCGTGGCCTGTGGTTAGTGTGTCGGAGTGTGGATACGAGAGTTTGTGGTCCAAGTCTTTTATCACTCACGATAAACATTGCGCTCCGTATTCTGGAGCCGTGAGTGCGTTATAAGAGTGACGGTCAACTACCACTATTCGATTAAAGTAGTTCAAGAGTTGGTGGTGAGTGATGTTGCCTAATTGCCTTCCCTCTGTCGTATCAGTTCATATTTAGCGAAGGCTAGCGCAGATAGCCCTTCCGTAGCTTTGCGCGAATATCTTAAACAAAAATCAAGCAAAGCGATTAAAGTATCGAGCTGCGGATCAGAAGGTCTTGGGTTAGAGACGTGATGTCAATGAATATGCTTCGTACTTTGGGTGCGTTAAGAAAGTCACAGCCTACCGCGTTATTCGATTCAAAGAGCCGGACAAAGCCCTTATGGCGGGGAGTGCTGCTAGCTGGTTGCTCGCTCTCCGGACAATGGCTCAAAAGTAAGGGTGGCTATACTTGAACCCTATGGATCTCTGACCTTCTTGTTTAGCTGACATGCGCATAAGATCAATTTAAAAATTTGAAAGTGGGTTGGTTATATTAATATTTTATACAGCTAGACTGAAATTGCTTGTAGCAAACCTATAGATTATAAAATCAGCCAAGTGCGTTTAAACGTTTTTGAAATAAACATAGGACTATTAATATATTCCATCTTTTTTTTCCTACCTTAGCATTTTTCTTTTCAATTAATCTTTTTTTTTAACGCACAAGTTACCAACTTAATTACTTTTGTAACGAGTTCGATATTTTTAACGAGAAATTAGTTTTTAGAAAAACACAAACAACCTTGGTTATTACATATATCACAATAGTTATATTAATATATTCATTTAAAGTAACTTATTTTTTCTCTTACACTTGTCGGCAAATTCGGTAAATTAAAAACAAACAAACCATATATCTTGAGTTCCTCTTTCAGAGAGCTCCGATCCAATATCTATATTACTGGCTTAAAGCTTTAATTTTATGAAGTTAAATAGGAATGCTTAGATGTAATAACAAAAACTATCCTGCTGTTTCACATCCTCATCAAAATATCGATATTGATTTTATGACTTCTGGTCACTACGTGAAAAGTCATAAATACGTATGCAGGGTATATTTATTATTCACCTTATTCAATACAATAAGAAAACGAGTGAGGTTCCATCCTTTCTAAAAAGAGGAAAAGGATAGGAGGGAAGATCAAACCTAATTGGCTTATTAAAGACGTAAATGAGAAAATCAAGGATACATGCCACAAATTTGGAAGATCAAACCTAATTGGCTTACTAAAGACGTAAATGAGAAAATCAAGGATACATGCCACAAATTTGGAAGATGAAACCTAATTGGCTTATTAAATACGTAAATGAGAAAATCAAGGGTACATGTCACAAATTTGGAAGTTCACACCTAATTGGCTTATTAAAGACGTAAATGAGAAAATCAAGGATACATGCCAGAAATTTTTAGAAGTTTAAACTGACAGATAGGTTGGAAATTTTACAGAACTATAGTTTTGTTTTAGCACAAAGCTGTACAATGGGCTATCCGTGTTCACCGTGGGTAATATGTCGTAAGCTTGTACAGTTATCGTTGACCCACAGGAGGACTAGAACTATAGTTGTTCTTGTTTTAGCACAGAGCTGTACAATGGGCTA